CTCACTCCAGCTGCAGTCCACTCTTTGTGAATCTCCCCCACATTTTTGAAGGGGTTTTGTTTCACAATCCTCTCCAGGGTGCGGTTATCTCTCTTGCTTGTACACTTTTTTCGACCACATCTTTTCCTTCCCTTCGCCTCTCTATTAATGTGCTTGGACACTGAGCTCTGTGAACAGCCAGCCTCTTTAGCGATGACCTTTTGTGTCTTGCCCTCCTTGTGCAAGGTGTCGATGGTCGTCTTTTGGACAACTGTCAAGTCAGCAGTCCTCCCCATGATTGTGTAGCCTATAGAACTAGACTGAAAGACCATTTAAAGGCTTTTGCAGGTGGTTTGAGTTAATTAGCTGATTAGAGTGTGGCACCAGGGGCCATCAATTTTGAACCTTTTCACAATATTCTAATTTTCTGATATGATGAATTTGAGATTTTCATTTGTTGTCATTTGTAATCATCAAAATTAAACAAAATAAACATCTGAAATATATGAGTTTGTATGTAATGTATGAATATAATATACAAGTTTCACTTTTTAAATGGAATTACTGAAATCAATCTACTTTTTCATGATATTCTAATTTTATGACCAGCACCTGTAAAACATGTCAGCACCATTTAAGAGGAAGCCATTCACAGTCAAGTGAGACTAAAAAGATGACACAAAGGCAGAAATTAAAACTGACGTCTGCACAGCATCATACATTTTGCTAGGATCATTCAATATTTTCTTAATTTTTCTAGATCAAACCTCTGCACTGAAAAACTGCAACAGTGGTTGCTTTCAGGTCTGACACGACCTTTATAAATATGGATTATTATCTCACTTCACATCGATACTGAACAGGAAGATATTAAATCTGTCCGTGCTGGTAAAGTTACATTTCTAAAGCCTGCATCATGTTCCCCAGAGGACAATGTGATACCATCTGTAACTATTTTTCCCCCCCTTTTTTTATTATGAAATGCAACGTCACAGCCCCATTGAGGTAGTTATTACTGTCCTTTCACTGACTTTAACAGCGCTTTTGATCAATGAGTGGAACGTGGCAATAATGGAGCTACAGCTACAGCTTCCATTTTTAACGGTTACACCCACACACTATAAATCCTGAGCGCTTGTGGCCCTGTGATTTGCAACATATAAAAACATCCAGCAAATGGAATAATAGATCATGGTTTTTGTTTTGTTTTGTTTTTTTGTTTTTTTACAGGTCCTTTTTTCCGTTTGCTTTATTTAGCTTGATGTCAACTCTTTTTGCATTATTTTGATGTGTTTGTGGGTGTCTGAGCTGGATGTCATTACTCTAGAGGCATAGTTAAATTATTCATTTCAATATGAAATTATTGCTTTAGCAAATAAAGAAATCGTAAGTATATTTGTTTCCCTTTGGACGAAAATATATTAGTCGTTTTAAAATATTCTTACAGATTTTATACAGGACACCTGATCATGCTCCTATTAACTGTAGAAATAAGTTATTCTTTGGTTATGATCTTCAATTATTCTTAATACAGACTTTAAGGGTTTTGGGGAAACATTATTACAAGATGAATATTGTATTAAGATGATCAAAATTACATGAAAAAGACTAAATATATCTTGCAATCAAGCCTAAGATATTATTATTTTGGGGCTATGATTAAAATATAAAATCCAACCAAAGGCAGAACTAAACCTGTGCTGATACAGTAGTCTGAAAAGTTATGCTGCATCCTACTTCTCATTTGTCTTAAGATTATGTCTCTAGAAAAAGTTAAACATCTGCTGTAGCCAGTTTTATCCTTATTTTGCTTGTATGCAGCTCTTTAGTAAACAATTTTTCAGTCAGCCTTTTTTTGTACTATGCAAAATTAACAAAAGACAAATTTTTAAAAGAAATCTTCATATAAAAAGTGTAGATCTCCCCTTTAAGGTTTTAGAATTAGGTTTATTTATTTAGAATAATGTGAAATATTAAACAACACTTTAAACCCGATAGTGTTTCTACTGAAGCAAAAATAGAATAGTTCTTGTCTCAGGGGTATGATTTAATTAAGCATATAAGTGTGATTGGCACATTGTCTAGAAGATGTGATCACATTTTTTACATTTTCACAATTTCACATTTGTAAAAAGGGCATTTTTTATTGAATATATTACAAAACAGTTCTGCATGACATGGCCCTTTCCTGCTTTGTTTTCTAATTCAGATGTCCCCACTTGATCTCAGCAGGTGTTTATCATCACAGTGTCTGTGACTGCAGCAACAAATGCAAGTTCTTTGTGTGTGTTCATTAGTGAGATTAAATTAATTTACCTGGCACTTTCATGCAAAGTGCTTACAATCAAGGAGAACTCTGGAATATGACAGGTTTTATTGCACTTCTAGTGCAAATAGCTTCCTTTTGGAGGAACCTTAAAAGCATTCGGCAATTAGAACTTTAGTCAAAATTATAATGTTTCTTAAATGTGATTTATTGCTTATTAGTTATGTAAAGAAAAGTCTTTGTGCAAAATTGTACAATTATTGATAAAAAAGTTTTTCAATGCACCTCTACATGCTTCTTTGTGCAAACAGGTAAACTATCTTAATAATTCCAGAGGAAATTAAAAGCTGCATACAGTAACATCCCATTCTAGAAAACAAAGCATAAACTCAGGATCAAATGCCTTTCATTGCAATAAAAAAAAAATAAATTCGGCACAGTGCTCTCCACATGTTGCCTGCTTGTTGAAATACAAATATGCTGCTCCTTACTTAATTGAATTAGAGATGGATTGGTATGACTGCATGAAGTAAACTGCTGCTGGCTTTTTGATGTCCCACTGATAGCAACATAACCTTTTTTTCCACATGAATTTAAATACATTTATAATTGATTATCTCTTGTTTTAGATGGGGTTCGCTGTCAATGTATCAATGGTAAAAATACCGTCCGTGTTTATCTGGTATAAAACTTAAAAAATGATTATCAACTTAATTTGTTTTTGATATTGTACAATACAGTTGAATGTGTACTCTGTATGTAACCAAACCCTGAAGTTACATTTTCACTGAAAGCAAATTTCACAGCTTGAGAGAAGGATTTTAATCCGTGTATGGTTCACTCTTTGTTTTTTTTTTCTTTTCAAAACAAAAACGAAAACACAAAACAGGCATGTGGTTTTTTTGTTTTTCCGTTTTTAAAACGAAATTAGAAAAACGGCATTTGCAAAAAAAAAGGGTATGTTTTTTTTTTTTTTTTTTTACTGCAATGGTTAAACCAAAGACAAACTTTTATTTTGTTGTTAATTCAACAGACCTTATGGCAGAACCAGAAATGAAGACCTAAACTCCCAACACATAACTTCTTTAGTTAACAGTAGGTGGCGGTAATGTTGCCTTCAATTTCTTGCCAACCATTATTACAATCCACAAGAAGAAGAACTTTTTCAGTTAGTAGTACCACAATGGAAACGTTTGTGTTATTTAGAGGGAATCGGCGCATTTCATTGAGAGCTAATGATCTGACCGTCAACAAGATCTCTTTAATATTCCATTTCAGCGTGTGTTTTTCCTCTCTCAAAAAGTTCTATAATCAAAGCAGAAAACAGTTCAGGTGCAGCCATTGCCTTTTGTTTAGAAATGGTTTGTTTTGATGCCGTCTTCATCTACTGTAAATGATTTTTCTTTGGTGACTTACTTCATTTCCTGTACCGCTACATATTAAAACAACAACTCAAACGCTGTTGATTTTCTATTAATTAGATTTTTAATTTTTCGATTTAGGTTTTAAAAACGGAAAAACCACATGCTTGTTTTGTTTTTTCGTAAGAAGGCAGACCTTGAATGCAACGACATAAAGCAAAGTGAGGCGAAGGTGGCAAAATTATGGGAAATGCCGGGATTTTAGAAAATTCTGCAAAAATTGATTGCAACTGCAAACTAAGCAAAGCCAAATGTGCAGGAGTTGAAAAATCTGAACGTTTGTTTACATTCATGTTGTAAATTCCAGTCAGTGACTAGATATGGCTGTGAGCTACAGTGAAAAAGGAAGCAAAGATCCGTTTTTTTTTTATCAAAATGATAATACAGAAAATAATTTTGAAAAAGTATGAAGAATGTTTTTAAGAGGTTTGTGGGTGGTTTTTATAATAGCTTTTTATTTACCAATAGAAGGATATTTTCATTGTCTTACATCCAGCACAGACACTGGCCAGCTGTTTGGGTGATTCCTCCCTGGGACAGCAGGGCCCCGACTGGGTCATTGATAGGCGGAAGTACCTCTGAAAGCAACCATCAGCAAAAGGTTACCTCTGGAGGAGGTCATAGTATTGTCCATACTGGCCCTGTGGAAGCCAAGCGACTTCCTAAGTGAGCATAATCAGGCTTAATTGGCGAAATTTTCGCTGGTTTTGCATAAGGTGTGATGAACATTTTAGAAATAGTGAACAGCTTGCAGCACCATGGAGGGCAATCTAGGGGGTATGAGCCTTTCTCAGTAATTCAAAGTAGATTCCTGTGGGCCTTGAACCAAATACTTGGAGCTTTTTCAGACTACAAGCACACAGCTCTAATTACTCAGCTAACACTCCCTGATGTGCAGATAAATGCAATATTTTGGGCTTTCTCTGAGATTATCTTCAATTTAATCTTTTTCACTCATATTTTATTTATGTTAAACTTATATACAAGTTATTTCAATTGAGTGATTCTCGAATATCATAACAAAAAAGGAATATTTGATTCATTTGAAACGCAGTTTAATAGTGTTGGATTTAGAATTTATGAAAATTTTATAAAGCTAAAATCACTATAATTCAGTGTTTTCCAACACGGTTAAATTATACTGCAATCTGAGTTTATTAAATATAATTTCAAATCTTACTTTTTAAAAGCACCGGTAAAAAACATTTTCAGATTGCAACAAATATTCTGTTTCTAATGTTTATGTGAGTACTCACTATTCAATTAGTTCTCAATGTTTTGATGCTTGATAATTTAGTAAATATTATATAATTAATATATTATCATTTTTGCAGGTGTTGAGTGCATTGTGGATATCCCTGAACCAAAGGAGCACTGGGATCCTGTTTTTGGAACATGTGTCTTCCTCTTCTCCTTCCTCATCCCTGTGGCCATCATCAGTATCTGCTACAGTCTGATGGTAAAACGCCTTCGAAATGTTCGCATACTATCTGGCTCCAAGGAAAAGGATCGCAATCTGCGGCGTATCACCAGAATGGTCCTGGTGGTGGTAGCAGCATTTGTTGTATGTTGGACCCCCATCCAGATCATGGTTCTGGCTCAGTCTCTGGGCTTCAATCTGAGCAGTCTGTATGCACTGGTTATGATGCATTTCTTTATTGCTCTGGGCTATGTCAACAGTAGCTTGAATCCAGTACTCTACGCCTTTCTGGATGAAAACTTCAAGCGCTGCTTCCGTGAGTTCTGCCAGCCGTCTCCATTCCGACTCGATACCCAGCAGTCAGGCAGAATGAGGAGCATTGCTAGGGAGGTGGCAGCAGCCTACAGCTACAAGGCTGGAGATGGTGGGGAGCCTGGGGTAGGGACGCCTAATCCAGCATGACTAGGCGTGGAGCTCCCTTTGATGGGGGTAGACCCAACAAATAGGGGAGACACCCATGGGACAGGGAATTCCAACACAGAGTTAACTCAGATAACAGCTCTCTAGCGGCACGAGCCCTCCCGCCCCCCAACTCGTAGACTGGCATGGGGCGGGGGGGAGGGAGATGATGAAGGTGGGTTTGAAAGGAAACGAATTTAGGAGAAATGTTAAAATCATGACATCTACAGACTGAGAGAAGCTAACTGCTTTTATAGGACGATTGATGGATTTTCTTGGTTTGAGTTGCCTGATATGGATGGAGTTTAGCTAATGCCCAAACTGAGCAAAGAACTGTAAGACATGTTGGTATATTTTATACACAACTTAAACACCAAATCTTGATGAACAAGTTTTGATCACAAAACGTGTAAAAGTGTCTCAAGATGTTGGTTTCAGCTCCAAAACCAGAATGATCGGCAGACACAAGCATTGCTAAAGGAATCCGCAACACAGCTGTCGCACCTCCGCATTCTACTTGGTGATTCACAGTTGGAGTAGGTGTTTGAAAAGCAGCATTGGTAGCAGCTTTGGACACAACATCTGTGAAACCATCTTACTACCTTGGTGAATGAGGACTGGAAATAAACACCTGTTGTAAAGATTGCAGATCTCTAGCAGCAAGGACCAAAAATGGAAGCCTGAACAGAAACAAAGAGATCTGAAAAAAAGGAAGGTCTGGTGAAAATGTTTAACAGAGTTTTGTCACTACTATGTTTTTCATGGAATAAAAAAAACAAACAAAAAAAAACTGTCTAACCCCCAATTTACACTGCGCCTGTTTCCGCTCTTGTATAAAGTCTGCGGTTAATGTTTGATCAATTAGAGCATTTATGTTGCCTTGCAAGGCAGCAATATGTGTACGGCCATTCACCAAAATGCAACCTGATTCTATTTATGCTGGATGCATGAGCCATTTCTCAGTCAGTTTATACTAATCAAACAACAGGTAACTGACAAGCACAACATTCCTGTTTCAAGTAATTCCCAAAAGAGACTTGATTTTCTTTAGGGCCTTGCTCTATAAGAAAAAAAATACATGTACATCTACGCTATCTAAGTTAATTATTTATGTTTAGTCATAAAATACACATTAAATGTTTGCTAGATGTACCATTAGGCAAAAAAAAGCTTAAATTTGCTCTATCTACTCATCCTTTGGTTAATATCACTCTTGAAATGGTCGGGACTCAAAAAGAAAATAAAAGTAGGGCAATTTTTCTGTTGTCTTTCAATTATTTTGGAGAGACTGTTTCATTTAACCCTGACTTCTACTGTGCAATTTACACATGCTTCTAAAGGCCCCTCTGGGCTTTGCAGTTAAGTAAACAAGACAGTGAGCAGAGTAAATTAGGATTGAAATGAGTGACAGCAAAACATAAATTGGAGTGCACAAAATCCCAAAGCTGTGTAAATCTGGGGTTAAATATCTTGATATGTTTGAATTTTTATTTGGTTTTCTGTGGTTGAAAACTATATTGACCTAAGCAGGGAACAAATGAGTCTTTTGAGTGGAAGTGGGTGACCAGGTTTCCATCCAAGACTTTGTATAACCTAACTTTAAAGGATTACATTGTTTTAAATATTGATTTGAAAAACTGGAGCATGCGCTAATTAGGAAATTCATAAAAATATAACAATTCTCAGATAAATCTCCAACTAAATAACCCAAACTGGCACAGAAAACATTTCAACCAAAAAAAGGAAGATAAAAGATGAGAAATTACCCTGGGGCTAAACTTTTTAGAATACGATTTGAGGATCGTTTACATAAAACAGTGCAAACATTTCCAATAATAAACACATGCTTTGTTCCAGGAAAATCTATCCGAACCTGGTCTCCCCTTGGTGAAAAATAATTAACAAAAAGCTGAGCCTAAAATGAATAACTGATTTGGGGTGTAATCAAGGATATAAATAGTTCTATATATTTTTTTCTGTCATCATTTAGGATGGCTTAAATTCTGTTTGATTGAATTATGCTGATTACAATGTATGCAGTGATATGAGAATGTTTTGTGGAAAGAAAAACTACATTTTGCTATTTCTATAATTTGCCAAATCTTGAAATTACTTTGGATTTAAATCCATAACACAGTGGTGGGAAATGTAATCACTTTGGACTGTAGTTAAAAAAAGAAATCTTCTGAAACGTTGGTGTTTAAAGCAAACTGTGCCAAAATATTTAAGAACATAAATTAGAAACACATCCTGCATATATATACATCAGAAATGAAAATAGACCACTCAAATGTCAATGTTTAACCAGGTTCACTGTACAGCTAACATGATACTGAGGCATTTGTGATACATGAATCTCATACATGATATTAAATCATACTTTTTTTTATTAATCCTTTTTGATGATCAAAGTTGCTTTTTTTTTTTTAAGTAAAACTGCTCAGGTTTGGGGTCAAGTTCTTTGAAGTGTTAATTGAGAATCCCAATGCTGGTGTAGCATTGACTCTAAGCATCATGGTTGCATGAAAGGGGTCACAGGGTTTTGACCCCATATCAAGGGACAAAGGGGCTTTCTCTCTTTCTCTATCTATTTATTGCTTTCTATTTTTGTGTAATACAGTGGAAATCAGCGCTGAAACATTTATTACAGAACATATTCCCTCCATTATTGGAAGCTGCAGAATATTGTGACTGCATTAAACAATATGAATTTTTTTTCAATTTATCTGTTTTGGCAACAGGGACACCATATGTCCGAGTCAACAGGCAAGAGACAGGTAACAGCCTGGACAGATCACTGGTTACCGGGCAGCACAGAGACAACCAATCTTGAACATCATGTCTCACATAGGGATAATTTGGAACTACAACATGTTCTTATATTGATGTTTATGAACTTTGAGAATAAGATGCATTTTGCACAGAAAAGTCTTGCCTACACAGAGAGAAGACGCAGCTTCTACAGAGACAAGGAAGTGCTGAGATCTGACTCAACAACTCACTTGCTTGGAGATGTTTCTCTCAAAAGCAAACAAAGTTTAATTTTTCTAACTTTATTAATTAAGTTTCAAAAGATAAAATCTTAATTTCAGGGGAACAGTCTTTAGGTGGTTCCTGGATTGGTATTTGTAGTTTTACTTACTCTTTTTGATATTTCTTACCAGCTTCTAAACAAGTGTTTGTGAAATCTTTGCTTAGTGAGTCAGTGTGTGAGAATTTACACAAATAAATTGATAAAGACTGTTTCCTCCTTTTCATCATTTCTTTGTTGTTAGTTGCATCCACCAATAACTGAAGCAGTCAAAGGTAGCTGCAGATTGTCCAAGCTGTAGAGTGAAACTTATGTTTTAGGGCTGGTATCCCTTATAAAAGGTTTGTCACTTCAAGTAATTTCCTTATGTGTGATTCTCTAAGATTCTCTTCTTGTGTTTCCTTTACCAACTAGTTTTTGATAGAATAAGGATCAAGAAGTTGAGATAGTTTGCTGTTGCACAATTACATCCTGGTTTGTGAGTAATTGGGTATTTTCTTAAAAAAAAATGTTTCTGCCCTTTGCAGCAGATAATTGTCTTTTATTGAATTCAATGAACATACATTGCCTTAAGTATAAAGTGAAGTCTGTAATCGAAGCTTGCTCTTTGGCTGGATAAAATCTGTTTAAGTATTTATTGGTGCTTTGCAGCTACTTTATAGCGGTCCTGACCTGTATTCATAAACCCTCATAAGAAAGTAATAGACTTGTCTAAAAAAATAGACTCTAGCTTTCCCTATTTTAATCTGTTCACAATTTTAATCTGCTAAAAAAGGAATGCCATTCACACGAATATAAACCAATGTTGTAGTTTGCATAAAATTAAACCTTATAGTGAACAATAAATAAAGTCATTACTTTGAAAAATCATACTATTTTATTTTGATTTAATAATATTAGGGGTGTTTTGTGACACTTGGCATTTATAATGATAAAATAGCTAATAAACTGTAGTTTATATAATTTACTTAACATTGTTTAAAGGGTATTGTTCAGATTTTGAGGACATTTTTCCTTTATAATATTTAGGACTGATGAAAATTCTTTAGACCTCTTTTAACAGGGGTTCTTATTCGAGGAGATCAGCTGGCAATATTTGCCCACAGTAGGTAATCTATACGTAAGGTGTAAGTGAAAAGTATGATGACTAAGGGGTGCAGCATCATAAATAAGCAGTACGTTGTACAGCACAAAGTACTGTAAAGGTGAAAATGAGGCTTGCAAGCACATAAAATGAGACTAGCACATAAACAGGCAAAACATATAGAGGCGAGAGATGGTGTAAAAACAGCTGGAGGTTAAGAGAAGCTACAAACTAGCTCTGCATTAACCAAGTGCTCCAAACCACTCGGGGGAGGTGGTCATCAACTCATGGGGGACCAGGCAATATAAATTGTTTGTGTGTTAATTAAATTTTCATGTTTGCTATTCTAGTTTTTGTGGTTGCCGTAGGCCTACTTTTTGTATTTGCTGTGCATCAATGCATACACAGTGTTTGTAGCCCTTGGCCACCATAGAAAAGTACAATTCAAAGATGAACATTTTAAACTTTAAACATTTAGAAATCAAAGGCCTTCTCGTAAAATAATAAAATATTAAAGAAGAGTAAAATTATATATATATATATATATATATATATATATATATATATATATATATATATATATATATATATATATATATATATATATATATATATATATATATATATATATATATATATATATATTTAAGTCTGACTGCTTTGAGATTTTTATGAATACCGGTCAATTTTAACAACATCTTAGATTTTGCATAGGAAAACTTGGCGGCGTAGAGAGTTCACTGATCCTTCTTCATTAAGATGTGTTCCATTGCTGCTGTGAGGCTCTTTGTGCTTAACTGCAACTGTTAAAACTGAAGAAGCAAGTGTTTTTTTAATTGTTTGGTGTAATATTTTGTAGCAGAACAGTCTGAGTTGGAAGAAATCATAGTTCCCTGGGGAAGTCTGCTGATTTTTTTCTGCCTGTTGACTGTGTATAGACATTGGAATAAAACATAATTAATGTAAAAGTACCTTGTCCTCACTATACATATAACATTAATTATATTTGGGTTGTTGTTTTCAAGGTAAAATTGTCATTTCTTACATTTGTATTGATTCTATATTGTCAACTCCCATTAGAAAGCAGGGAGCTCGCTTTCATGTGTTTACATCCTACAGACCACATGAATGTCAAAAGAAATCTTGTTTAATATCTAATTAAAAAGTGTTGGTGTTATTATACTGAGTACCAAAAAAGAGTATTTCCTAAGTGTTTCTGTTACTTGTGATTTCTTATATGCAGGAAAGTGTTCAGTATCTATCAGTGTGTTACTTGTGGATTACAGTTTGCTCACTGCCTGAGTCATGCATTAATTGGAGAGTTTCTTGCTAAAGCTTTCAGACCCCTTGTACTTTTCCATTTTCTGTCACTTTGAAGTGATGAATGTCAGTGTATTTGGTGATTAATCTAATTAATGAGTTTCTAAATTAGAAACACATGAATGAATTTTAAATGTTTCTTGATATGAATATCTAAAATTGTTGCATGCATTTATTCATTTCTACCCTGAGCAACCTTTAACAGCAAGTTAAAGTTAGTTTTTTAAGGTATGCCCTTCCAAGCTTTGCACATCTACGATTAAGACTTTTCCATTTCTTCTTTGCAGAATAGCCCAAGCTGAGGTTCAATTCAAAGCATTTCAGTGTTGCTACATGTTCACAAATGTAGCAAACTAAACCCCTGCCCTAGTTTCAAGTCTTTTGCAGGATACAGTAAATTTTTAAACTCCACCAATTTCCCATCAAACCGAACCAGCTTCCCTGTCACTGCTGAAGATCAGACAGGATGTTCCTGCCACCACCATAGTTAGGGCTTTGATATAATGTGTTTACTGTGTTGTTAAGGATTAGTATTTTAAACACCAAGGTTTTAAGTATAGCCATAAAATATTTTGGTCTCATTTAGGCAGAGCACCTTTTTGTGTTCTTGTACTCTGTCTGTCATCTACAGGATTCCTGGCAAAGTTAACATGCTATTTCCTCTAGTTTTTTCTTTAACAATGGCTGTCTTCTTTCCACCTTAAAGGCCAAATTAATGCATCATACAGTTAGAATGAGATTGATTTACACAGAGATGGACTCTATTTATGACTTAGTTTTCCTTTAAAGGCAATAGGTTGCAGTTTTGAGTAAAGGGCAGAAAACATAAATGCCAAATATAAAGATATATAGGAATGAAAAATGAAAAAAAAAACTTGTATCAGGCAATACATTGTGCTAGTCTACCATATAAAAATCCAATGAAATGTTGCTTTTTTAATTGTTGTTTTAATTTGCAATGTAACAAATCAGGAGAAGGTTTAAGTTTTTACAAGGCAGTTTAAATATGTGAATAGGGTACAATTAGAGGAGAATGGTGAGTAATGATGACAATAAAAAAATCAATTTGATCCTTCTTTATTGTAGTGATGCAACTGATTATGATTACACTTTTTCTCTTCCAAAAACCTAATTTCTCATGTGACTTTTTTTAACACATGAAGTAATAATTCTCTTATTTTGTTTTAGTGTTTGGTGCCTCGTTATTCTGACCCTGTATGCTGAACATCTATGCTAAAAATCTCCACATATGTTTGCAGTAAAACAAAAAAGATGAATCATTCCTCCTTCCGTTAATCATCTAATATACGCTTGACTTTTCAGCCTATGGTGCTGTATTAGTTACATTTTTTGTGCAAAAGTACTATCTTGAGCCACAAGTGTTGTTATATTGAATTTTAATGGTGGATTAAACATAAGGAATTATAGCGTAGGGTCTGTTTAACTTAGCCATATGAAAATCAAATAACAGAAAAGAGTTTACTAATTTATTTATTCACTTGTTGCTGGTGATCAGTGATTTTTACTCTAAGAAATCATGATATGACAACACTCAGCACAACTTCATATAAAAACAGGATCACTTCCCTGTGACTTAAATTAAAATAAGGTGGATTTCATGTGTTGTAGGCTCCATGTTAATGAAAATGCAGCAAAAAAAATGTTTTTTTGCTGCATCCGTTTCTGCAAAATAAATGAGCCGTAGTTCATATTTGGATAGAGGTTGTTTTTCTATGTATTCCATGACTCAGGCACTGCAGCTACATAAACATACTTATTACTGTTTTCTGCATAAAGCAGAATGAAAAACTGTGTTCGCTGGCTTGTTATACATGCATCAAGAGTTTTTGCTGAAGCTTGAATTTGAAATGTATATTTTTCTTTGCTTATGAAATTAATAAATATGTTATCAAGGACCATGTGTTTCTTTTTTGAAAAAATGAAAATATAA